CCAGCCTGGACCCCGACCTCTTCTTCACGGCTCCCTCCACCCCGATCCGAGTCGGGGGGTCCCGGCTGCCGCCTGCCCCCCCCGAGGAGCAGACGGACGGGGAGAGCGAGGGGCTCTGCTCCCCCCCCACGTCCCCCTCCGGGTCCTACATGACGGCCGAGGGGGGCAGCTGGGGCTCCTCCGGCACCGCCAGCACCTCCCCGTCCTGCTCCCCCAACCTGGTGGCCGAGGCCGAAGCCATGGCGGCGGCCGAGGCCGAAGGCATGGCCGAGGTCGAAACCGTGCCGGCGTCGCCCGCCTGCCTGGAGGACCCCCCTGCCTTCACCCCGCCGTCTCCCGAGGAGGAGGAGGATGAAGACGGACCCTTCGTTCCACCGGAGGATGAGGAGGATGAGGATGGACAGACGCCGGAGGAAGAGGAGGATGAGGAATGGGAGGTGTCGGGGGGCGAGGGGCTGCCCGGCGCGGGCCTGATCCCGGCGGCGCTGCTGCCCTTCCGCGGCAGCCTGCTCTTCCAGGCCGAGGCGGTGGAGATCACCCCGCTGCCCCATGGCACGGCACCCCTGCCCCTCTCCGGTGAGGAGGAGGATGAGGAGGACGAAGAAGAGGAGGAGGAAGAAGAAGAGGAGGAGGAGGAGGAGGAGGAGGGCGGCAGCACCTCAGCCTCCTTCCTGCGCTCGCTGTCGGAGACCTCCATCACCGAGGGGGTGGACGAGTCCTTCGCCTTCCGCGACGACACCTCTGCCTCCTCCGACTCGGCCGCCTACGATGGCGAGGAGGACGAGCGGCTCTACGGCACCGAGCGCCATGCCGTGGGGGCTGAGGGGGGGTCCACCGGCACCGCCACCGCTCCCCCCGGCACCGATACCTCTGGGGATGGTGGCATCGAGCTCCACCTCTGTGCCGGGATGGACCCAGTTGGCTCCGGCTCACTGGAGGGGTCCCTGCAGCACCACCACGGCGAGGAGCCAGTGAGCGCGGCGCCCGGCGTGGAGGACGCTGGTGGGGATGAGCTCAGCGCCGAGCGGATGGAGCCGGGTACGCAGGAGCAGGATGGCAGCGAGACCCCCCCAGCACCCTCTGGAGAAGGTGGCGTGGAGCCAGACAGTGAGACTTTCCTCACCTCCTCATCTTCCTCCTCGGAGCTGGAGGAGGCTTCAGCCCTGGAGCCTGATGTCCTGTGGGAGCCGGACCCTGTCCTGGGGGAGTGTCCCCCAGCAGAGCCCCCCCAGCTCCCAGAGGAGCCGGCGGTGATGCTGGGTGCCGAGGAGGAGCCGGTGGTGAAGGATGATTCCGGTATGGCAGTGCTGGAAGAGGGGCCCGGCACAGAGCCGGTGGTGAGCCACAGCGTCCTACAGCCCCCCGGCCTCTGCTCTGGGGAGCCCAAGGACCCCCAAACCGATGGGCTGGGGAGGGACGACACGGCACCGGCCAACGGGGAGCCACAGAGTGGCCCTGGGAGTGACAGTGATGATGGTGACGGTGATGATGACCTTGGCACCGTGAGAGCAGGGAGCAACGAGCTGGCAGCCACCGATGGCCCCGATGAGCTGGACGTCATGGCCGCTGACCCGGCACTGTCGGTGACACCCAGCCCACCGAACGAGCTGGACACCGTGGGCATCAACCCGGCACCGTCGGTGACACCCAGCCTGCCGGATGAGCTGGACACAGCAGCCACCGACCCTGACCTGGTGCCATCGGTGACGCCAAGCCCACCAAATGAGCTGGACGTGGCAGCCACCGACCTGGTGCCATTGATGACACCCAGCCTACCAGACGAGCCGGACACGGTGGCCACTGACCCAGCGCCATTGGTGACACCCAGCCCGCAGGATGAGATGTATGTCGCAGCCACTGACCTTGACCTGGTGCCCTTAGTGACACCCAGCCTGCCGGATGAGCCGGACACGGTGGCCACCGACCTGGTGCCGTTGGTAATGCCCATCCTGCCAGAGGAGCCGGACACTGCAGCCACCGACTCTGACCTGGTGCCATCAGTGACGTCCAGCCCACCAGATGAGCTGGACACCGTGGCCACTGACCTGGTGCCGTTGGTGACACCTAGCCTGCCGGATGAGCCGGACACCATGGCGGCTGAGCCAGTGCCGTCAGGGTTGCCTGATGAGCCGGACACCGTGGCCACCGACATGCTGCCATTGGTGATGCCCAGCCTGCCGGACGAGCCAGCCACCGTGGCCACCGACATGGTGCCGTTGGTGATGCCCAGCCCGCCAGATGAGCCGGCCACCGTGGCCACTGACATGGTGCCATTGGTGATGCCCAGCCCGCCAGATGAGCCGGCCACCGTGGCCACTGATGTGGTGCCGTTGGTGACGCCCAGCCCGCCAGATGAGCCGGCCACCGTGGCCACCGACATGGTGCTATTGGTGATGCCCAGCCCACCAGATGAGCCGGCCACCGTGGCCACTGACATGGTGCCATTGGTGATGCCCAGCCCGCCAAATGAGCCGGCCACCGCAGCCACCGACCTGGTGCCATTGGTGACACCCAGCCTGTCGGATGAGCTGGACAGCGCGGCCACTGACCCCAACCTGGCACTGTTGGTGATGCCCAGCCGGCCAGCCGGCGTCGTGGCACAGTCCCCCCCACCGCAAGACGCATCCCCTCGCGATGCCGACGAGGAACTGGCGGATGGGGCGGCCTCAGCCAACGAGTCCCCGGAGCCACCGGTGACCATGTGTCCCTCGGCGCGGGGGACGATGGTGCGTCCCCCTGGGGAAGTCGGCGAAGCCCCCGAGGAGTGGGACGCTGCCACCGCCTCCTCCGAGGAGTCATCCCCGGAGCTGCTGGAGACCTCCCGCTCCCGCACCGACTCCAGCTTCTTCACCGCCCCCGAGGACAGTGCTGGGGAGGCGGCCGCCCCCCCCAGACCCCCATCTTCGGAGGAGGAGGAGGAGGAAGAGGATGCCGCCCGTCGCTGCCTGGCCCTCTGCCTGCCCGCCTCGCCCCCCGCCGTCCCCCCGTTGATCTTCACCGCTTCGGAGCGGGAGGTGTACGTGGGGGCCCCCCCGTCCCCCCTTGAACTGCTCCAACCACCCGGTGCCTTTTCAGAGAGTGGGGCGGCCTGGCAGCGCCAGGAGGACCGGCAGCGGGTCACCGCCATGTTACGGGGCTCTTTTGGGGATCTGCCGGCCCCCCGCCTCCTCCCCAGGCCCCCCGACCCCCCTGAGGTGCTGGC